GACGGTGGATGCACGGTCTTCGCCGACGACGCCGCGGCGCATGAGCGGGTGTGAGGGCGGCGGCGGCCGCGCCGCCGCCGTTGCGCGGTGGTAGGGACGCGGTCGTATCAAGGATGAAGCGTGAAGCCTACCAAGTAGGAGTACTATTGCCAAGTGTGTATGTCAGGCTCTGAACAAGTGTGAATGAAGCTGTAACACTAATCTCTTTTTCTCGAAAGGAGTGAGAACATTTACCCCCCGCAAAAAAAGTTACAGCCGGACGCCCCCAACCATCCTCAAGGGCGGCCCACCTGGTCACTGACGGGTAACGATTTTTCGACCTAAGCAGACGCTTCAAACGAGACTCAAACGTTCGGGCTGATCGATACCTCTTATATCCAACTCAAATATTAGACAAATATGAGGCGTCCGGGCACGCCTGCCACGCCGGACCCGGCTCACATAGGCGTACCCGACCCCATATATATTTGTCCCCATCCGCTTGCCGGAACAAACCATAGCCATTCCACTTCTCTCCGCCACCGAGCTCATCTCCGGCGGTTCCGGGCCTTCTTCGCCATGGCAGGCAGCGGATCGGATTCCAACCAGTCTGGATCCATTGACTGGGGTGTCGTTCCGTGCGGGTTGAAGGAGGCAATGACAATCCGCATTGCACTCCGCTGCTCCCGGGAGGACAAGCCCGGTCGACGGACGGATCTGTCCGCCGTGACTCCACAACTTCGGCTCATCGGGCGCTCGGGCCCTCCGAGGCTGGATCCTCGCGGTCCTGGCAGCCGAAATCCCTCTCCTTCCCCATCACCGGTCAGACAAACTATGAGTCCCACCGGGACCAGGCGGCCTGCCGTAGGAAGGAGAGGATAATGGTCGCTGAGGCCGCTATCGCGCTGGAAATGGCGGCGGCTGATGCGGCGGCGCGGACGGACGCAGAGGAGGAAGCCACCTGCGCCTGCATTGTGAAGAAACGACGGCGGGGGAACACGCGTGCCCTCACCTGAGAGCATAATCGGGCGGTCCGTGGCATGGTCGGACTGCCACTGAAGGAGGAGAAGACGGGCAGTGACGGCGAGGACAACTCCGGCAACGAGTAGATTCGGCTCGATCCGTACTGCGTCTTCGACCGGTACTTCCTCGAGAAGGATGGCAAGCGGGCAAGGGCAGCCGTGGATGAACTCCATCATAGCCAAACATGCCAAATTTTGGTAGTCCGATGGCATGTTTAGTGTAGTGTGATGGAGTATCTGGACGATACGTGTGCATCGATGTAGTTGTATGGTTTTGTATAGATTTGAGATATGATAATAGACGTGTCCGAATGTGGATACAATATTTGAGAGGTGCCCGACGCGTTTGCGGGCGTTTAAGGGGTCGGATTTACTGAGTCCAGTTATAGATGCTCTAAAATCCTGTTCATCATGGTCACTTTGGTCAATTTATTCAAAGAATCACACGTTACGGTAATTATACTTTGCTCGAGGGGACCCATCACTAGCTAGTATATTTTTCGGTCATATTTTGTAGTACGTATGTCGGCTTGCTTTTTGTCCGTTTCACGTAGGAGATACGATGTTAGTATGCCATTTCATGGGTTTTTTTTCATAATTGCGCCATTACTTTGCCCCCTTCGTCCGCTTCGTGCCCAAATTCCCCACTCTTCACCATTCCGACGAACCGTAGCTATCTCCGCTCTCCACCGGCGCTCGCTCCTAGATCTTGCGTGCAGCCGTCATCGAACGACATTTCTCTTTTGTGCCATGTCTTCGAGTTGTTCCCGCTCTGCTCAGTGCCGCCACGCCCCCCTGATCCCCCTGATCTGTTGTTCGGAGTGTGGGTGGACGGTGAAGCACTATATCTCCAGCACCGATGACCACGACAGCGGGGTGTTCTACAGACACATCAACCATGGTTTAGGTGCCCTTGTACCTTGGAATTTTGCAGAGATGGCCTCTCA